TCACCTCTACATGCTTTGATTAGATATAATTGCTTTAGGATTCACTCTTATTGTCTATTTGACCATTATTCAACTTAACCAAAGATTTTGCCTCTTCTATCATCGTGCTATATTTTTCATAACTGCTTATCTTTAATTTAAATCATTATTTTCTCATCCTATAATTGATTAGTCTTAATTGGAGTTATGATTATCTTCCCTGCTTATCCTTACTTGAATTGTTGAATTTTCCTCGTAATTGCTCAACCTCAAAAGGAGTTTAGATAACCTATATCTTAGTTGACTTGCCATTATTTGGAACTATTTGACTCGTTTTGGCTTCTTATTGTTGACTTGAATATTGTGGAATTATTGCTATATTTTTGTTTTGTTTTCCCTTATTAAGCTGTTCTCCTTGTGCCTAGCATTCTTTACTGTGGTTATTCCTTGTGAATGAGTTCTATCATTCTTGTAATTTAAATTCTTGAGTTGATTTGCTCGTCATACCTTGCATTTCTGTCATTGTTGCTTTTGTACTCGTTGTGGTGATGTACGAGGTTTCTGTCGTGTTATAGTTGTTATCTTTGTTGTTTGCGCTGCATATTTAAATTGGGACTACGGACGTATTCCGGGAGATCCCCCAACACTGCATATTTAAATTGGGACTACAGACGTATTCCGGGAGATCCCCCAGCACTGCATATTTATTTTGGGACTACGGACGTATTCCGGGAGATCGCCCAGCACTACATATTTAAATTGGGACTACGGACGTATTTCGGGAGATCTCCTGTCTTGCATAATTAATTCGGGACTACGGAACGGTATCCCGATAGATTTCCCCTGTGGTTATATCTGTATTCAGAGCTGCTAATCTTCCATGCTTAGGTGTCACAGGGTGACTTATACTCGAAGAATATTACTTGAAGAGTTTATATTTGAAAAGTATTTATCTTGAAGGAATTATGTTTGAAGATATTTATTTGAAAGGGTTATACTTGAAAACTATTTATCTTGAAAGAACAATGTTTGAAGGCTAATTATTTAAAAATTTTATATTTGAAAGGTTTTGTCTTGAAAAAACTATGTTTGAAAGATATTTATTTGAAGGAAGTATATTTCAAAAATAATTTCTTATTGGAAAGGATTATATTCTAAAGACCTCAATTTAAAAACATACGGGTGAAAGTTTACACTTGAAGCATTTGACTAATTTATTAGGGTTGTTGGCTGAGACCTGATGTGAAAACTATTGCAGCTGCTGGGTTACTACTTGCCTTTACTGTATTATGATTTCTGGATTTGGGTTGTGTTTTCGTTCATTCTTCTGTGTCTTATTCTGGTGTTCCGCTGTTACTTCCTGCTTTTCCTTCCTTATTGCAGTTGCTATGTCGTTAGCCATATCGCGGGGTCCTTAGATAGATGTCATGATCTGTCATCCCTATACTTTTGCTTGTTCAGTTTATTAGACCAGTGGGTGTCTTGACTAGTCCTCGTCACTACTTCACCGAGGTTAGTCTTGATACTTATTGGGCACCGCTGTGGTGTGCTCATGCTACTCTTCTGCACATTCTTTTTTGCAGATCCAGGTAATTGTTTGTTAGCTAGCTGTGTGGACTGTTGTTGCGGATATTCAAGGTAAACCTGCCGCTGCGTTCGCAGAATTCGGAGTCACCTTCAACTTTTTGTTTTGCACTGTTTATTCTTATTTCTGGACAGTTGTATTTAGAAATTTTTTAGCAAACACTCTGTAGAGCTTATAACTTGTACTACCGATTTTGGGAACTATAAGAGAATCTATTTAAATAATGTTGTTGTTTTAATTATTGTTATGCTTACCTAGTCCTTAAGACTAGGTGCCATCACGATACCCAAACGGAGGGGAAATTGGGTCGTGACAAGAACATTAGAATGGGCACAAAAGTCTAAATGGATGAAATGGCCTCTAGTTTTCAGGCGGAGATGAGTATCCATTCCTTCACACCTTGAGAGTAATCTCTCCAATCTTGGGGCCATCTTGAGAGTAATCACTTCGATAGTCGGGCCACCTTGAGAGTAATCTTTTCGATAGTCGGGCCACTTTGAGAGTAATCTCTTTGATAGTCGGGTCATCTTGAGAGTAATCTCTCTGATATTCGGGCGGGGGTGAGTGCTCATTCCTTCACACCCTAAGATTGTCTTTTTCATGCATGGATCATCCATTTAAACAAGAACATATCTTTCTCGCTTGACCTATAAAAAAAAAGAGGAAAAAAGAAGAAGACAAAAATGCAAAGAAAAAAAACTGTACATGTCAATGATTCACTTGGACAGGCTTGCGAGCTGCGACTGATGCCAATTGAAGGGAAGGCACATCCCTAGTTATAGATTCTCCAAATATGTCAGTTGATGGATTAATCGCGATGTGGGAGTAAAGATTTTCAGAGTCCAACATGAACTTGTTCTCCTAATTCAATTCGAATGAAGAAAGCTACAAGCAGAAGTCTTCTAACCAATTTGGACACTTACGGATTTTGACAAAACCGTATAAGGCCAAACCTGCTAAGGGGCAACGATTAAGGTCTCAGAAGTCCACTCTAATTAGGAAGGCAGGAAGTAAATTATATTTTTGATTCTTCTCAATTAATATCTCACGTGAATTTCAATTAGAATCTCAAAAGTTATATTTTTTATTCTTTTCAATTAATATCCTAAAGCATCTTTTTACGTGAAGATCAACGGAATGTTTGCAAAAATGGGTAAAATAAAATAAAGACATTTGTTATCTAAATACTTCAAGCCTAGTATTCAAAAGTTTAAAGATCTTGACGAGCCTTGAATAGGGAACATTTGTAGGTATATAAATTTTATCAGAGTTAAATCCAATAAAATAACATGCATCATATTTTAAATGCAAGATATATTAGGCCAAATAAATATTATGGGCTAATATAATTGAATTAATTATATAAGTCTAATACATATGGGTAAAATAAATAGGCCTGAATCTATTGGGCTAGCCCATTTAATTGGGCTAAAAGTGATGGGCCCGCTTCACTAAGCCCAAAATGTCATATTTCTAGAGGCCCAATTCGGTGCCACGTGTCAAATGACATGGCACGCCAAATCAAACAAAAGAGCCAATAGGATCATGCCACGCGTCAAAATGACAAGGCATGTCAAGTCAAATTAAAAGGCCAATAAAACTGTGCCACATGTGCAAAATGACATGTTCTGGCCAATCAAATGTGATCTTGTAACTCTTCAATCTGATTGGTTCGAAAGAGTTTGTTTTTATTATAACTCTTCCCTCCCACAACTGTAAATAAAGGTCTTCACAATTCAAAAAAAAAAAGATCAGAAGTTATAACAAGAAGCAAGAGAGAGCTCGTGGATCAAACGCCGCAAATTTCTCTACAAATTTCAAGCTTCAATCAATCAAGTTCAAGATCAAGAAATCAAGTTCAAGCTCAAGAACGAAGAACAAATCAAGATTCAAGGAGTACGAGTTCAAATCAAAGTCTATGCTAGTTGAATCCAAGATCATCGTTCGGGGCAACAAATATAGATTCAAGATCAAGCTCAAAGGCCTTTGAATTTATTTACTATTGGAAAGAAGAATCAGAGGATTCATAGAGATTGTAACACTCAAATATTTGAAATAAAATACTATGATTGTTGCAATATTTTTCGGTCTTGATTTTATTTTCTCGACGCAATTTATTTTCTTGACGCAATTGGCACGTCAAGTGGGACCAGTTCTGCCTTCATCTCTTCCTCCTGTAAATCGAAAACTCCATGTTTCAAAATCATTTGTTGCGATGGTCGAGTACTTCAAGTCTCGTCTTCAAGTTTCGACAAGCCTACACCCCGACAAACCTTGAAGTAATGGGCATTTGTAGACATTAAAATTTTAACGGATCAAGCTAAATCATAAATTAAAGATACTATAGGACTCTTGAAATTCCAAGAGTCTATAAGGGTTGTTTGGAGGTTCTCTACCCTAAACCTAACTCACACCTATATAAAGAAATACATATTCCCTTGAAGAGGCGTCTCAAAATTCTCATAAACTCTTGGGATATTCACAAAGAGATCAAATATGACCGAATACTTCTTGACAATCAAATAGTTCAAGAAGTTGGAGATCATATACATCCCTAGGAGGTCTTTCCATCCTACATTCGAGAAATACGCTGCTTCAACCCTCGAATTACGGAGATAATCAGGAGAGGAGAATCAAGGGAGAAATAAAATTGTACTACAATTGATTAATAAAAATATTTTTCTCTTATTTTGTGATTGCGGTTTATTTTTCATATCACGAAAATTTGTTGCGAACAAACATCATTTTAATGTGTATTATATTCTTGCCTTATTTATATTGCTTTTATTAATGGCATCAACTACCGGATAAATTTTTAATAGGAGATAGGGATTTGAGTGATACTATTCAAATAATAATCATGTTAAAAAGTGTAAGGACTTCTTTAAATCAAATAAAAGCGATTATATTGTTAATAACTGATTAGATCGTGTTAAAATAGTTACTCTTTGTGCACAAGAAAAGTTGAAATGACTTTTTCTAACAAGTCAATTGTAAAGGAATATTTTGATGGCATTCCCACTCATAAAATTTCAAATGATTTTGTATTATTGGAAGAGGAGGAAATTTTTTAGTGATGGCACTGTCTTGGGTAATTCTTTTAGGATTTTATGAATTATTTTTTACATTATTACTTGATATTTATTACTAATTTTATTCTGTACTTTTCAGATGTAATTTACATATTAGTAATAGTGAAACCATTTAATGGAAAAAGACAAAGCAGGCGGATGAGTTATAATAGTTACAGATGAAAGGTAAGATAAAATTATACAAGTTTATTAAAAATATTCATTTGATATACAATATAAATAAATTAATATAATCCATATAACTATTATTTTAAAAAAATTAGGTATGATGATCTATTGTTACTTTATTTTGCTGAAAATGACATGGATCTAATTATATTCAATTATCTTGTCCCAAGTAACAAATCATTATCCTTTAATGTGTAGTTTTTTTCAAATCCTTATTTGGATAATTCGGCTAGACGAAAATCCCTTGAATTAAGAAAATTGAAATTGCAGAAGCCCCAAATCTTCGAGCAAATTGGAAAGTGAGGAGGAAATGGAAGGCAGCGAGAGCGAGAAAGAGTTCGATTCATTGAACCTAAATCCGAAACTCTTCGTCAACGAGGCCCTCAATATTGTAGACGAGTTAGTTGACGATGCTTTTGATTTCTTCCACCAGTAAGTAGGAGTTCCCTTCCTTCATGTCCAACTAATTTTCGTCCAAATTCTAGTGCTGTTTAGTTTTTCTTTATGACCTTCTGTAGAGAGGCAGCAAATCTTCTGAAAACTGAAGGCACTAATCGATCGGAAGATCTAAAAGAGGTTGGTTTTCATTGTTTTTTTTTTTTTTTTTTTTTTTTTTTTATATGTATTGTTTAGTTTAAGCAGCTCAGGCCACTGACAGACAAAAAATTTCATTTGTAGGGTGTGGCTGAAATTAAGTAAATGATCCAATTGACTCTGGACAAGCGGTTGAGTTTATGGGAGAAGTACTGTTTGCACAACTGCTTTAAGGTTCCGCATGGGTTCTCTTTGCCTAAAGCTGTATGTTCTCTATTATTGATGTTTTTTCTTTACCTCGGTTGAGAAATATAACTTGTTTCATATCAACTGTAAAGCTTCATTTTCTGCATATTGGAAATCCAATCCCTCTCTTAGTAAATTTTAAACATGTCCGTTTTACTTATATATAATGGCGAATGCAGGAATTTCATCAAGGGAATTCAAAAACTATAAAAATTAAAGACGCGATGAAGCTAAGGGATTCAACATCTAATACATACACATAAAATAAACTTTTACCTTATATATACTGTGTACTTTTTCGTCGAGTGAACCCCCATTATGCTCCCTAGCTCCGCCCATGCTTATATACCATCCCTTGTTTAAGAATGCATATTTGAGCACTAAAATCTTTATTTTGGATGTGATCTGTTTAATCATTCTGCCTAATTTTGTTCAATTGCACATGTCAAGTTACAGATATGGAGTTTGAGAACAAAAATAATTTGTTTATAGTGAGATGATTGTCCATTGGGTCTTCAACCATCTCTGTCTCCCTAAGAAATAGGAGTGTCTGGACCAGTTGGTTAGAGTCTTTCCGTGATAGCATACAGATAGAAAGTGCTGTCATTCAGCTTGGTCCACTTTGTTGCCAAATAGTAAAAGGATAACTGTAGGAGTGGAGAAGATTGGTGCAAGTTGTTCATATGGATATGGGTCAAAGAGCATGCTTTCCATTCCACATCCTACTGAAAGTGCACAATTGAAGAGGCAACTATCGCAAACCTGCAGTTATATCCATGTACAATTATTAGAAAGTAGAAGGAATATAAGCATCAATCTTCTATTGATAATTCGTCTGATTGGGAGTAAATGGAGCTCTTTAGATGAGCAGAATGCCTGAGTGGTGATGAAATCTCAATCTCGGTGACCACTATTCATGGATTTTATTCTTTAAATGTTATTTATTAAAAATTGATTCATTATCTGCTGATGGCTACTTGACACTTTTATCTATGAATTAATATTACTTTTGGCATGTTTATCTAGGATGGACCGTCTGGTGACACTTCATTTGATATTAATGCTGTTGAGAATCCTGAACTAGATGAAAAGTTGGATTTCTTAAGGAACAAGATTTCTGAGGTAGGGGATCCTCAGCAAATTAGTAGATGCTTTATGTCTTTATAAATTGATAATTTTTTCCTTTGCAATTTATGATCTCTCCTGGTGGGAAAAGAGTCTGCTGAGCTCAACAGAGAACTACAAGCTCTCGAAAGGCAGTCCATGTTAAGTGACCACTCTGCTGCTTCTCTTACTGAAGCGTTGGAGTTGTATCAGCAACTGGCAGCGGATGAGAAGTTTGAAGGTAAATATTTTTCTGCAAAGCTTCAACTTCGTAAATTCTTCTTGACTTGAGGAGTCATGAAAAACCATTTTGGGAAAATAGCGACTTAATCTGATACCTTTCTGTGGATACAAGCCTTTATTACTGAAAATAGCACGTATGTGGCGTTTTATGACTAGATAATGCCACTTTTATTTTTCGGATCCGAACCTTCTGCAGATGGGCTAAATAAGGATATGTGTTACTGCAAATGATTCTGGATTTTCATATGAACTATACCTGCCTTGGATACAACAACAACAACAACCCAGTAAAATCCCACTAATGGGGTCTGGGGAGGGTAGTGTGTACGCAGACCTTACCCCTACCCCGAAGGAGTAGAGAGGCTGTTTCCGAAAGACCCTCGGCTCAAAAAACAAAAAGACAAAAAGGACAAAAAGGGAGATAATATTAGTATCACAACAACAATCATAGGATAAATAGGAACACCATGAAATCCAGAAGAAAAATGCAAAGCAAAAGGAGACAATATTAGTAAATATTAGTATCACCACAACAGTCATAAGAAAAATAAGAATACCATGAAATCTAGAAGAAAGATAAGGCGGTGTTTGTTTTTTAGTTTTCTCTTTTCCAACTAATATAGGTTACCTTTCTTCCTTTGCCAAGACCTTGAGTGGCTTGGAATTTTCCGCCTTGCTATTAATTGTTTCCTTGCTCTTCCATTCCAAGGGAGGTTCAGCCAACTATGGAAAATTAACTATCTGCACAGATTCATGGGTATGGTCAGTTTTTTGGGGTTCTGCACCTTGATATAGCTTCTAATGTCCTAGCAACAATAAAACAGCGAAGAAGGGAAGAAGATAGAAGGACGGCTGAAACTGGATGTCTATCTTTGGCCAAATAGAAGATTGAATTTGCAGAGGATGTGGTTGTAGCTTGTGAGAAAAGTAGGCATGTGTGTGTTTTTGCATAATGTGCTGATCATCTAATTTCTCTTAAATTTGAGAGTGGAATCGACTTAATCCAGCTTCTACTTCTAAACTTTTCCTACTTCAGCTTATTATGTAATTCCTTTATGGAATTGAAATGGTGATTGCACTCCAAATTTGAAATCCTTAATACGGGAATATCACCCCGAAATTTTCCGTTGCAGGGCTTTGTGCTTCTTAATGATATAATTCTACTAAATTCAAGTTATTGAATATGGTTCTTTTAATTGGCCATTTTTGCCAGAACTGGTACGAACTGCATCAGATTTTCAAACCAAAGTGGAGAATTTGGCAACCAGAATGGTGGAGGACACTGAGCACCGAAGAGCAAAAAAAATTCGCACTTCAAATGGGGAAATGTTTAGATTGAACAATGATGAAGGTGAGCATTCTGGCAAACTTAATTTTATTGTCTGACAATGCCCTTGATAGAATTTACGCGCTAAATATTGCATATTATCTTGTAGGCCTACTGAGTGCGACACTGGAGGAACTTCAAGTATTTGGGGATGATATAAAGACTCTTCGTGACTAAACGGTGGCTTAATTTACTGATGCTGTGAAGAAGTGTTCTTGTAGGTTCTTAGTAATGTAAGAATTTTTCTCTAGTTAATTGAAAATGCTGAGGCCTCAGAAAACCTATAGTAATGTTAGGAGGAATTTCTTCAGTTGAAGGCCTTGGCTTTCTAGTTGAAGTCTGATTTAGTCATCAAACCAAACTCTAAAACACCTTGCTAGGATGTTATTTTGCCAGAAGTATTGTCTGCACTTATTGAAGTTAGTATCTCCCTTCCTGCATCTTATAGGACCAGTATGAAGAGATTGATATGATAACAAAGGGTGGAAACTATGGTTGGTCCATCTACGAAGGCCCTTATCCCTACAAACCAAGCAATGCCACAAAAGAAAGCACTTGTTCTAGCTCCAATAGTCTCATATTCACAGTCAGGGGATACAACCACTCTGAAGCTGATAAGACTATTGGTTCTGCTTCCATAACTGGTGGCTACTTCTGTAGGTCTCAAATTGATCCCTGTCTTTATGGAAGGTTTGCATCTTTTTCTTTGCTAACAAACTTGGTAGCTCGGTACATGTGTACTGTTTCATAAATTAGCTCAACCTGATTTTGAATTCAAATTATCAGGTACTTGTACATAGACTTACATCCAGATGGAATATGGTCAGGTACTGAAAATCCTGAAAATAGTAGAAATTTCACAAGTTCAAAAATCCAATATAGGTGCGTGCAAGATTCTCCAATACATTGTGAGTCAATTGCAGAGGGTATTATGCCTGCTATAGGATACGTTTTCTCCTTAGGGGAAGACAGTAGAAAAGACATTTATATATTGACAAGCACAGGCGTCTACAGAGTTGCACGTACAAGCAGGTGTAGTTACCATTGTTCCAAAGAAAAATTAGTAACCAGTAAACCTCCTCCTGCTGCTTCATTGTCTGGAGAATTATGGAAGGGCGTAAAACACCCTGCCCTTTGCATTTCTTCCATTGTGCTACTTCTATTGAATCTTGCTTTCTAAGCCTTGAAATGGGGATAGGTAATCTTGCTGTTAATAATTACCTAACAAGTTGCAAAATCTGTGCCTTTTTTCCTCTCTTCTGTTTTTGCTGTTTTTAATATACACTATTTGACATTGCTTTAAAGTTTATATATATATTGTGCAGACTAGCTTCTTTGTGAGATACAAAAATCTAAACCTTTCTGAATGTACCAATAGGAAATAGAGTATCATAACCAGTACCCATAGTAGTCGCACACTGCCATCGATGCAACTTAAAACTAAAACGAAAAAGGTCCAAATATGCCCTTGTACTATACGAAATTGAGCACATTTGCCCTTCGTTAATACTTTAGCTCAAATATGCTCTTATTGTCACATAGTTGGTCCATATATGCTCTTAGAGTTACACAGTTGGCCCATATATGCCCTTATCAAAACGGAATTCACCCAAACTAATTAACTCTTTCGTTAATTGTATTAAAGTGTATTACAAATACTATTTTCTTTTTATTAGTACTTTTTTCTTTATCTTTCTCTTTTTTTTCTTTCCTTTTTCTTTCTCCCATATCCGATTTCCTCCATTACTGATGTCTTCTCCATTTTCATCACCAATTTCACTTGACAAAACTCATAAATTTCAATTATTAAGAAAATTCTCCCATAAGAATATTTTTATAGATCTTATGTTTTTCAATTTTTTAATTTTTACTGAACATATATTTAGTTTTTAAAAATTTAACAAAGTAAGATTGAAATAATATTTATGTAACAAAAAATCCGAAAATCCAACAAAACCGAACAATCCAAACCGATATAATGGGTTTGGTTTGATTTTGATAAAAATCGAACCAACCCATTCCATGTACACCCCTAATTTACATAGTTAATAAAAAAATAAAAAATGTCCAGCCGAAAAAAGATTAACAACTCAAATTTATAACACTACAACTTGAACTCTAGGGTTTTAATCATTAAATTATCTTTCTAGAAACAATTTAAATATTTTGGTCTTTTGAGTATTGTTAAAGGTTGAGATTTTTTTATATTATTTTAAAGTTTAAACCATAATTTTTGGAATAATTTAATTTCATTTATTTAGAGGGCCAGTGAAATTGGAACTTGATTATCTTATGGGAGAATTTTCTTAATAATTGGAATTCATGAGTTTTGTCAAGTGAAATTGGTGACGAAAATAGAAAAGACATCAGTAATGGAGGAAACGGATAAGGGAGAAAGAAAAAGGAAAAAAAAGAGAAGAAAAGAAAAAAGAAGAAAGAAAAGAGAAAGGTAAAGAAAAAAAAGTACTAATACAAAGGAAATAGTGTTTGTAATACACTTTAATACAATTAACGAAAGAGCTAATTAGTTTGGATGTATTCCGTTTCGAAAATGGCATATATGGGCCAACTGTGTAACTCTAAGGGTATATATGGACCAACTATGTGACGGTAAGGGCATATTTGAGATAAAGTATTAACGAAGGGCAAATGTGCTCAATTTCCTATAGTATAAGGGCATATTTGGACCTTTGCCCAAACTAAAATAAATTTATCTCTTTATAAACCAAAACAACTCTCGTGTTAAATTTGGAGAAATTTCCCAAAAAATTCATAATCCATGCGGGCTTACTTTTGTAGGTATAACCACATAAAATGCCTTGGATTAAGTAGTATTTTCTTTTTAACAAGACAAGAGGAAACTAGTTATGTTATTGTTCTTTTGTCGAGAGTCTATCGGAAACAGCCTTTCTACCTTCACAAGGTAGGGGTTGGGGTAAGATCTGCGTACACACTACCTTCCCAAACTTCACTTATGAGATTACACTCCTATTTGTAAAGCAATTGTCAAGAGGCAATCAAATCCAACTGGTAACATAGTCTCTTAGCCACCAAACTTGTCCTTTCTAATCGAAAAGTTTTGCCTAGTCTAATACTAAATTATCCATTTAAAACACGAACATTAATTTGATGTTTCAGAAAAAAATTTAGCAATCACGCTACATCGGAAGTTTGTACTTTCATCTATATTCCTTTGGGTTAAGGCAGCTTTGACAGAGAACTAATAATGTTCCGAGAGAATGAAAACCTGGTGGTTTATTTTTGAAAAAGATATAAGATCAAATAATTGTACATATAATAAATTGAAAGATGAACTGGAAACCGCAAGTAAATTGAAATAACTAGTATAACGAGTAAAAATATATCACCCAGCTTGCTATAGAAGTAATGAAAAAACATATTATTTGGCTTAATTACAGTCTACAAAATATTGGCTGGAACTAAAAAATAATCAAAAATTACATCGCTTTCTCTCCTCATTGTAATTAACTTTCTAGTTATGAATTAGCCGCTACTGGACTTCAGCCCTGTACCTTATACCTAAAACTGGTGTAAGGCAAACCCTGTATCGGCGTTCATCTTTACTTTGGCGTTTAGCCGTGGGCTCTTCTTCAATCTCACCAAATTTCCTCTGGTGCGCCGTCACAGCGTCTGTGGGATCCCAAGTAATAATCGCAATGCCCAGAACAATAGGAATCAGAGGGCGTCCGAAATTGGTAGGTTGAGACATCAGGTTCCGAGCAAAGGAAGAGACGCGTCGGATGATGGGCACCATTGAATAAAGCGGCACACCAACAGAGCATAGTATTTCGTAAATGCTATCATCGTCGTGAATCACAGCGTCACTCGGCAAGTAGAAAGATTTGACAGTTAGTGGACTGTCTGGTGCCTCCATTATAGAATCCCCTTCCTCTTGCAGATACTTAAGGAATTGTTGAACCCGAACTTGGATCATGAAAAACGTCTCAGAAGAAGGGTTGTTGCTGTTCTTCGTCCTTGGAATGATAGAATCGTCTGTTATAACTCTATATTCAACAGAAGTTTGTAGATTCACCATCTTCAATTTCTGTTGGGGCGATAATACAGAGAGCAATTTAGTAAGCCAAAAAGAATGCAAGAGAAGATGGTGATCAGTTGTTCAAGCCGTGTAACGCTTTTATAGACTTTGAGGAAAGCCTAGTTTGTGTAGAAATAGGATTCTCAATTTTCCTAAGTTCTTTCGGAAAATTTTGAAATAAGGAAATAAAATGGTAACTTGAGAAGCAGGGTAAGGGTTAGTATAGAAGAAGGAATCTCATATTTCCGAGATTGTCCAGGTTATGGAAAGTTTTGAAATAAAGGAAAATTTTGGTAACTTGAAATGCAAGTAAAGCAATTGTTGTCTAAATAAGTACGAGCGTTCGAAATCTTACTCAACAAAATTTTCTAACTAATGATTTCACATCAAATTTCAATCATTGAATTTTTTTGTTGTTCTGCATATCTTATTGCTCCTATTTGATTTTCAACTAGCTAGCTTTGTTGATTTAACAAAACAAAAGTTCCAATAAGAAGTGATATTGGAAGACTAATAAAGGCTAGCTGGACTTGCATAATTATTTAATGAGTTTGATAGACCATTGTAGCACCTAGCACTCATGGCTACATATTTGGATTGTTGGGAAGAAGAAAAAATAAAAAAGAAAGAAAATTAAGCAATTTCTAATTCATTCATTCCTTCTTTCTGAATACAAAGTAAGATAAATAGGGGATATTCAGCTAGCTACAGCTGTCTTCCTAACAAACTAGTATTATAATTGGACACTTGTCCTTAATTGAGGCTTATAGCCGTTTAGGGAATAAAGACCAACAAGATAAGAGCTAACTAATAATGGGCTCAATACTGCAATTGGCATGTCGCTTCTTCTCTTGAGAGGTTTGCCCATTGAACTAGCACTTGTACAACTACTTTATTTCCTTTTTTGACCATTTTTCTGTCCAGAATTGCAACTGGTTCAGCAAGGATTTGACCATCATCAGAGCAAAATGGAGGTTCTTGGGAGGGAATTACTCTGTCCCCAATCTTCTTCTTCAATTGAGACACATGAAATACTGGGTGAATCTTCGAGCTTGGGGGTAATTTTAACTCGTAAGCCACCGGGCCCAATTTACGAATTACTTCATAAGGACCGTAAAATCTGGCTGCCAATTTCAAATTCCTCCTCATTGCTACTGAAGTTTGACGATATGGTTGCAATTTCAGGAAGACCATGTCTCCTACCACAAATTCTCTCTCACTTCTTTTGGAGTCTGCGTACTGTTTCATACGGTTTTGTGCCTTGGTCAAATTCTCTTTCAATCTTTTGTAAATGATTTGTCGTTCCTTCAACAGCTGATCTACTGAGTCCAATTTTGACTAAGAAATTAGCTCAAAGGTCGGCAAGGGTGGTTCATAGCCGTACAATGCTTTGAATGGAGTCATACCAATAGTTGATTGGTAATTGGTATTATACCAAAACTCAGCATGTGAAATCCACTTGCTCCATTCTTTGGGTCTATGACCAGTCATACAACGCAAGTAAGCTTCCACACATTGGTTTAGTCTCTCTGACTGCCCGTCAGATTGTGGATGATACGTCGTGGTGAGTCTTTGTTCAACGCGCAAGCCTTTAAATAGCTCTTTCCAGAAATAACTTGTGAAGACGGGATCGCGATCCGACAGAATTGAGCTTGGGACCCCATGAAGCTTGCAAATGTGATCCAAAAATAAATGAGCTACTTGGGTTGCGTTGTAAGGATGAGTCCATGTGAATAGGTGAGCATACTTGGTGTACCTATCAATGATTATCAGAATAGTATCCTTTCCAAATGACCTTGGCAGTCCTTCAATAAAATCCATGGTTAGGTGTTCCCAAGCTCTTGAAGGAATTGGAAGAGGTTGCAAAAGTCCGGGATAAGGAACATGTTCTGCCTTGTTTCGTTGACAAGCCTCGCAAATCTTGACCCTCTCTTTTACTTCAGCCAGTAGCCCTGGTCAAAAGAACAAGGCCATTAACCTCTGTTGGCTGCCCAAAATTCCTGAGTGTCATCCCCAAGGGGTGGAATGCATTTGTTCGATAAACTTCTCTCGTAATTGACCCTTATTCCCAACAAATATCTTGTCATCTATTCTAATCAATCCATTTTGTAAGGTGGTGTTGGGTAGGGCATTTCTATCGACTGCTAGTTCTATTAGGATGTGTTGAGCCTCAGGGTCACCCTCATAGCTCTCCATTATTTCAGTGGCCCATTTTGGTTGCACAATTGTAAGTGCATTGCACTCTTCAGTGAAC